TAAGGATGGGAGATTAGCTTGCCTCTGAGAGTGGGAACCGGGGGAAGAATCACTGGGACCAGCTAATGAGATGCTGGGTGCCGTGAGCTCTGTGTCCACTCCTCTGCCACGGTGAGCTTGGCTTCACCAGAGCGCTGGGAAGATATTCAAATGCTTAGGGGTTTTGGTGGGATGGGGAGTGTCCTCCAGCTTGTCTGCTGACGTATTTGAGTGATGTTTGATATGGGATGGCAGGATGCCCGTGTTTGTGGGTCACAGGGAGGGGACTGGGGATGGTGACTCAAGAGACACCCCAAGAACCAGTCTCCGTGGGCTCTACCCAGGCATTCAGTCGCCAGGCTCCATGCTTCTATCTCTGCTTGGCACCAAGACGCAGCAGCTACTCTGGAGCACGTCTGAGGATGTCTAACACAGTGCAGGCATGGCCCGAGACAGGACCATGCTAGGGCAGAAGCAGTTAGAGTGCTACAGAGAGGTAAAACAAACCCTTTTTCCAGTCCTGTGACCAGTAGCAATGCAAATCAATTGATGAATCTTTCGTTACACCATTGCATCCTTGACAACTAGATTTTGGCCAAGAGGGACCTGTCAGATCTCCTAGGTTAGAGAAACTTATTTCATTTTACTGTGATCTGCTGGGCCGAAAGCACTGCTCCTGATCAAGTTTTGTGACTGGAAACCTCAAAAGCCACCTCTGTCCTTCTCACAGGATCCCTGAGCCTGTTATCGGGTACATCAGTGCTGGGATCTCAGCTCACAGCGGGGGAAGCTGTGCCCTGCCTGCCTCGCTGCCGCCATAACGAGCTCAAAGTAGGAGTGAGTGCATGCACCTGTGTGTACGGAACCCTGTTTCTTGGCATTTCCGTAGAAAACTGAAAATTTGGGCAATCTGTCCATCCCAACTGGGAGATGAGTGCAGACCAAAGCAAGGCACCAAATTTGACTCCCACTCTCCTTTCTGTTTGGAGGAAAGCCACCTTGCCACATCAACAAAGGAGAGCATGCAGCTGGCCAAATTGCACAAAATAGCATTTAATTGCAGATAAACCCAAAAGGCTCCCGGAAAATATTGAAGCAGGAATGCCATTGTCACCCAAGATGAATCCTATAGAAATAACTAATTTTCACCCAGCAAAGTATGCATTTCAGAAGGAATGACTTACCCAAATCACCAATGGGATCAAGTGGGATTCCTGTGAAGCCGTGCGGAGTGATCGGAGGACCCAGGTGCTTTTATAGGGTCCCCGACGGAGGAACAGAAAGGAGCCACCCTTTGTGGACGTTGCCCTGATTCATCTTTGGCCAAGCCCAGCTGCACCTTCATGTCCTCAGACGGGTTATTTAACTTATCATCCCCTTACCTATCATTTTAACCCAGAAATAGTAGTTGCCATGTGGCAATTCAGGCATCAGCTGGTTCCACCTAATCCGGACTGTAAAGTTATTTTACAGGTAATTGTATTTCAGATTTTTTTTTTTTTTTTAAATCTAGAATAGCTGTGAAGCATATATATATGTATTAATGGAAGGGTGTATTTTTAACGAATTCCCACTTTTATAGGTATGCATTTATATATGTATTATACACACCCATAAAAACAGTACTGGAGTTGGAGGACATCGATAGAAGTGCTGACGTTTGCAGAGTTGTTGTAAGCACCCTGGAGACAGAGGGGATCTTCATGGCCCTCCAGCTTGGTGCTGCACCACCAGAGGTGATTTTTGCTTCCTTTTTTCATGTGCTTTGCTCATAGAGAAAGGACAGATGAAGACCTAACCATTCGGAACGTGTTGAAATGCAGGTGCACAGCAGAGAGATCTCCAAACCCTCCAGGAGATCTAGGCTTTTGTGGTGTCCTTGTAGCACGTACTGAAAAGTATCCCTTTTTTTTTGGTAACTTCTTATTAAGGAGCCTTTTTATTGTATTATCCAGGTTTTTGGTGAAACAAACAAACAAAAAAATCCAACAAATTGAAACATTTGTAAATGGTAAAGTTTGCAAAATACATAGATATTTATAAGAAAATGCCTATTAAATAAGTAGTGACTTTTCATTGAGAAAAATTGTGATAAAACATTTTTTATGTTAACTGTCTTCTGTGAATGACTTATTTTCACTTTGCTTGATCTTTAATTAAAAATGAAAGCAGAAACCTTTTGGCTGGGAGGTCAATTCATGTCGAAGCTTCATCTGGTTGCTCTAGGCAGCTTTTCCTGTAATTATCTCTACAATCCTTGTTTTTTTTTTTTTTTTTTTTTTTTTTTTTTTTTAAATCTTTTAAGTGTAAATTAATTTGAGACCAACAGATTCTTTTATTCATTCTGAGCTCTCCCTGTGCAGGGAGCAAATAGGGGAGACATCAGCCGTGCCACTTGGGCCCCTGCGTTTGGTTTTGGAGCTGGGCTGCTGCCTTGACAAGCATGCTGGAGACATTGCGGAGAGCCTCCGGAGCATGAACCTGTCACGCAGCCTTGGGTGAGTTGCTGATCTGGCCCATCTGTAAGGTAAGATCATACTGGGTGTAGGAGCCTAATTAATTAGTGCTGGTAACAGCTTGGGGATACTCATATAAGTGCGCACAGAGGATTGTTGCTAACCATACTTCATTTTTGAGCTTTTTTTCAAGATTAAATTATACTTGTGTAAATTATACCCCACCTGTGGGATAATGATACCCTTGGGAAACTGTAATTTTATGGTAGATTGGAGTTATTATTAAAATTAGAGCATTACTGTGTGGCTGGAGCTTGTACGCACGGTGTCCTATAACAGTTTGCAATCCCCTGCGGGCGCTGGGGACGTCAGGAGGCATTGGGCAGATTTTGGGAGAGGTACATCAGGGCAGCACCAGCACCCCAGGTTTCTAAGGGCTTGGCTTTGCCCAAGGACACTCTCAAAAGCACGGACTCGAGTTGGTCTTTCAAAACTGTTACCCAACAGGGTGGGCTCTTTTTTTCCTACCCAGTTCTGCACCCATCCCTGTCGACATTTCTATAGGGTGGCCAAACCTCTGTTGCATTTAATCAAGGTGGAACCGGGCTCCCCACGAGACATATAAAAGACCTGTTCTCTTCTGACACCTCCCAGCCTTGCAGGTATCTTAAACAGGTATTTGTGTCAGTGGGATAATTTTCATGGGGCTGTAATGTCCTCCTTAAAATGAACCAAAAAAAAAAAAAAAAAAAAGTCCACCCCAACTTCAAACACTCCTGCAAACACTCCTGATGGCAAAAGTAGTGATATTCACAATAGAGTATATAATTAGCCTGTCACTAACAGGGCTCAGTGCCTGCTGAATTGGGAGGTCAGTTTTTTATTGAAACTGCAAAAAGCAGCAGCTGAGGGATGGGCAGATGAACAGGGGGCTGGCTGGGTCTGGAGGTTTTTGACCTTCACCCAGAGCTAAGAAATAGCAAAGAGCTATTTGAGAATCCTCCAGCTGAGATCTATTTTGGAAGGAAAATATTTTTGTTTTTTCTTGTTTTCTAGAAAATGAAATGTTTCAAGGAATGAATCAGACGGATTGGGAGTTTTGATGGATAGGTGATGAAATTTAAGTCTTGACTGTCTCATTTCGTTTTGACAATGTCCACAGCTGTCATTAAGGTAGGTCAGAACCTGTTTTTGCTAAGGTGTTTTATCAGCGGTAGAGCAGACTGGTGTATTTTGTGTCTAATGCATTTAACTTTGACATCAGCACTTTTAGGCCAAATCATTTTTGCAATGTGTGTTCTAGGGATCATTTTGAAACGCTGATTTTTCAGTTCTGATTCAGCGTGCAGCAAATTGTGAAACTCTGGGGTGTCCCAGAGGAGTGACGTTTTATTTCCTCGTGAGGTCTCTGTGTGCTGCTTGTCACCGGCCACAGAGCAGGAGGTGCGGGTGCATTTATCGTCTGCTGATTTGGCTGATAGGTCACAAGTGAAAGATAGTATGGTGAAAAACAGGCTGAGCATCACCCTCCCTGCGGGATGCGGAGTCCTAGACCTGCCTGGTGGTCCAGCACGTCCGAACCCCCTAATAATCCCCACTGACTTCACCGGACTGCTCGTGCCCGCAGAGTTATCCACATTCCTACATGCACGTCTGGACGAGTGCCCAGGACCCGGTACCCCAGGCCACCTGAGTTTGAGGTTGGCTCCACTCCACGTGTGCTTGGTTTGCGTGTCAGCTTTTTGTCTCTGGCCTCCCAGGTGCTGCTGGGACTGCATGTACCTGAATAATATTTTTTCTGTTGTTTAGTATTTCTCAACTCCTTCTTTTGTAACCTTCTTTAGATAACAAGTGTTTTTTTATTTATTTATTTATTTTATTTTTTTTAATCTTCATCCCATACTCCACATTCCCCTTGCTTCTGAGATTACTAATAAATGAGGTTAAATAGGACAAATCCCTCCCATGGAGTGTTAAGCAGCTGTTTATTCTTTTCACAGCAGACACGAACAACACCCAGAGCAGATGGATGCTGCAAGGGATCTGTTCAGAGGCTGGTCATGCCATTGTATCAATCCCGACACCTACCCTCTCCGAAGACATCTCTCGCCAGGATGTCACATCCCTGCCCGTGGGAAGTGATCAGTTCACCTCAGCTAAATTGCAAAGGTGAACAGTAGCTTCTTCAGGCTGCTTGTCCCCGAGGCACGTTGCCTCCCTGCAGCCACCCTGGGGCAATGTGGATGTGTGGCATGCAAGGGACGGGCACCCAGGTCCTCTGTACCGTGTCAGCCTGCTCAGAGCTGGGCCAAGGGCACGAGGGCACGCTTACAGCAAAACACCGGGACACATGTGCTGTTTTGCCTTCAGTTTTATTGCTTTGCTTACATAGGCAGAGGCAGTCTAATAACAGGATAAGAGAGAAGGTCTCAAGCCACAAATAATTCTATACAAACCAGGGGTGTGAAGCCCAGGGTTAATAAAGAGTGGGACAAGACATAACAAATAGGAATATAAAATCAGGGTGGCATTGGACAAAATGTCCCACCTTGCAGGGGGCGACAGCCTTGGTTGCACAGGGTTTCAGCCTTCACTGCTGTGGTGGCCACTGAGGCTGCAAGTGCTGCTGCTCCCCAGGGTGTTGTCCTTTGCCGTGACTGCCCTGTTGCTGCTGTCCCAGAAAAGGCTGAGCCTCAGCCCCGCTGTTGTCCTGCACCTTGGGTTTGGGGAATGGAGGTTGAGCCTGGTTGTCGGGTGTTCCCCAGGGCTTGGGATCTGGATGGGGGCTCCCACCCCACCCTGGGGGCAGCAGCTTCTGGGTCTCACCTGGGTTGGGATCCTGCCGAGAGGTCTCGCAGACCTGGGTCTTGTTTGTGTCTTTCCCTGGTGTCCCAGAGGAACAGCTCGGGTTCTGCTCTGCTGGCTTTGTCTCCGGGCTGTGATTGGGGTTTGATGCCTTTGTCTCTTGGGCCTGGTGGCTTATTGGGTTCTGTTTTGCAGCTTTATGAGTATTTCCGTCTTGCTCTGGGGTCTCAGTATACAGGATCTCACCACTCTTTGGATCCCTTTCTGGCGCCTTGGTCTTGTCATCCTGATGGGTGCCCTGGCCCTTCTTTGGTGTCTCACCCTTCTTGGTATCCTGGTTGGTGTCCTGGCCCTTCTTTGGTGTCTCACCCTTCTTGGTATCCTGATTGGTGTCCTGTTCCTTCTTCGGTGTCTCACCCTTTTTGGTATCCTGATTGGTGTTATGGTCTTTCTTTGGTGTCTCACCCTTCTTGGTGTCCTGATTGGTGTTATGGTCTTTCTTTGGTGTCTCACCCTTCTTGGTGTCCTGATTGGTGTTATGGTCTTTCTTTGGTGTCTCACCCTTCTTGGTGTCCTGTTCCTTCTTCGGTGTCTCACCCTTCTTGGTATCCTGATTGGTGTCCTGTTCCTTCTTTGGTGTCTCACCCTTCTTGGTATCCTGATTGGTGTCCTGTTCCTTCTTTGGTGTCTCACCCTTCTTGGTGTCCTGTTCCTTCTTCGGTGTCTCACCCTTCTTGGTGTCCTGATTGGTGTCCTGTTCCTTCTTTGGTGTCTCACCCTTCTTGGTATCCTGGTTGGTGTTCTGGTCCTTCTTTGGTGTCTCAGCCTTCTGGGTATGTTGGGTGTCCCGATCCTGCTTGGTTGCTGCACCCTCCTGCACCTGATTGCTCACCCGCTGCTCAGGGTCCTGCTGTTGGGGGGCTGCCGTCCCTGCCACGCGTGGCTCTGGCACCCCACCTGCCTTCTCTTGCACCGTTGTCTCCTGTCCATCTTCTGGTGCCTGGCACTGCTCGAGCTGCCTGTAGCAAGCCTTGGCCACCCGGAAAACCAGGCTGAGAAACTCACTGAACTCAACCTTGCCATTGCTGTCTTCATCCAAGAAGCGCAGCACCTTCTCGATGGTGTTGGGGTCATGGGGGTTCTGCAAGGAGACAAACAGTATCAGCAAAGCCCGTGAGCCCTTTGCACCATCTCTGTGGGACTACTTGAGCAGTCTTGGGGCAGAACCAACCCCCATGCCCCCTCCCCGTGGCTCGCCTTGCTGGATCCTCACCACTATCACGTCTGCAAACTCCTGCTCGATGAGCTGCCTCAGCTCCCCCTTGCTCAGGGCGCTGCAGTCACCGTCCTTTCTGGCATAGTTGTAGAAAACAGCGATGATGCCATTGATGTTTTCCTGGAGCTGGGCCATCTCCCCACAAAGTTGAGGCAGCCTGCAAGAGAAACACAGGCAAAAAGGGGCTTTTGTCGGTTTGCTTGGTTTTCAGGTAAATTACACTTGAACAATGCAGCTGGACAGGCAGAGAGGAGGATGAGCCAGAATGACACAGATAAAATGAAACAGAATAAGGGAGGGAAAGGAGAAAGCAAGAAGGGACTTGCAGGGAAGCAAATCCCTGAAAAAAATGAAGCTTGCCGTGGAGATGGTTGGGTGCGAGGATGGGCGAGCAGTGGCCAGAGAGATGAGGGACAGCAGGAGCCAAGCTGCTGGGGGTGCAGAGAGAGAAGAAAAAAAAATAAATCCCACTTGGCTTTCTCTGGAGCAGAGCCGTGAATGCAGGGTGTCTCTAATGAACTAGAGAACAGCGTAACTCCCAACCCCTTTCCATATTTTTTCTCTAGAAGAGCTCAGCTCCAGGAAGAAGCTCTTGCTTGAGCGTGGTGGCAAAGTCCAGCAGCGTCTGTCCAGGCTTACCTGGGCAGGAGCAGAAGCGCCGGCCTCGGGAGCGCGATCTGGCGCGGCCCCGCTCTCAGCAGCCTTATATACAGCCGAAAGTCACGGCCCGCACCTCGCAGAGGAGACACCCCATCAGCAGGGTGCCGCATCTTGCGCCCAATTACACTGTCATCCCCCTGTCTTCATTTGTCTCTTTCTCATTAACTTCGGCTCTGATGCTGTTCTCTGGAGTTAAGACATGATCCTTCCTAAGCTTGCCCCACCTGCAGACGCATTTTAGAGGAATTAAGTAGAAAAGGCTATTTTTAGTGCTGCAGGATTTAGTTTAAGGTGATGCCCAAGGAACGCCCGGGACTCTTGTCTTTGGCGAATGTGTTTGGTGAGCAAGCGATCCGAGTGACTGACACCGGGGAGGAGGCTGCCCGGGGGCGCTTGAATGGTGGATAAAGAGAAAATCAAACAAAGGTAGAAAAAATAAGGATATAGTGATGCCAAGATTAACGTGATTCCTTCCAGAAACTCCCACTTCTGGAACCCGACAGGGAGGCAGGCACCCAGCAAAGAAACCTTTTCCAACAGTGCCACCAAGTGGCACTTGGGGGGGGACAGAGGGGTGACACGGCGTGGCCAGGGTGTTGCAGTCACTGCGGTACCGGGCAGGGAAACTGAGGCACGGTGCAAGGAAGGGGCTTCTGCTCCTCCTTTGTATGTCCTTGCACTGCCATATCCCCCCTGCTGCTACAGCTGCAGTGTGATATGAAAGTTATTTCCTAGGCAGTTTTGTGCAAGACTCTTAAGTGTTCTCGCTTTAGCTGTCTGCTTTTAAAAGTCCTTTTCTTGGCAGTAAGAGAGTCTGAAAAAAAATAGTGCTGGAAATGCACATGGCTTGTAATGTGCAAAGTGCTTCAGGAACAGACAATAAAATACAGCCAATTTTGTGTAAGGAAAAGGACTTTCAGGAAAATGCTCCAGCTTGCTTCATGCCTGGCATGGGGAGGGTTAATGGGAACCACTGTGTTTGGGTGAAATACTGGCAGGTGTGCAGGGGCACTGGGAGGGGATAAACTGGGGAGCCAAGGAGCCCCCCTACTGTAATAGGGGTGCTGCAGAGCTGGGGGGCTTTGTGGCTGTCCTGTCCCTTGGTTCCTGTTACTCCAGCAAGCTCTATCTGAAGCCCTGCCCTTTCCTTAAACCAGGAATTTTCTGATCCATCTCCACTTCCATCTCTCGTTCAGGGGCACCGGCTGCCCCCGGTTCCTGAGGCGCTGCAGGCTCGGGGCCTTTGGGAGCCTCTTCTGACGGCTTCTATTTTTTCTCCCATGCTCAAGCTTCAGCTCTGAACAGAGTTGACTTGAACCTGAATGAAGGAAGGGAATTTGAATCTTGGAAGCAATTCTAATAATCTATTGACCTGTCTGTTTGTGCGTGGGAGCACACCACTTCTCCTCTGGTGGGGCATGTTGGCTGCTAATCCCATTAAGCTGCAGGGAGGGTGGGGGGCAATTACTGGAGGCACCTTGGAGAGGCAGAATTGCTCAGGGTGTTCTTGCAGAAGTTATTTCTGGCCAAATCACCCAGACCCTGGGCAGGGCGTTTTCTCCCTCATAGACAACCGTAGACAATAAGAGGTTTATGTTGTGCGGGACCTCATACGTGCTTTACAAGGCAGAAAAGGTCAGGGGGTCAGATGGGACGTGAAGAAGTTGAAAGAATGAAGTGAGAACAGCATAACAGGAGGAAAGCACTGCTTGCAGGAGAGCTGGAGCTAAACGAGGAGGAACCCAGAGGGCAGGTCCTTCTGGTTAACAAAATCCCCTGGAACTCAGCGGTGCTGCGGTGAGAGGTGTGGGGAGGCTTTGCACAAGCTTGCACCTGGTTTCTAATAATCCTGGGGGTTTCAAACAGGGCTGGGGTGAGGTTGGTGACTAGAAAGGAGCTGAGCTTCCCAACAGCTCTTCCTGCAGCACAGGAGCAGTGTTTTGGCTGCTCTTTGCCACGAAAATTGCTCTGCCAGTCTGCAGAGCCTAAACTTTTTGTGCAATTTGGCTGAGGTAAAGCACGAGCTGCAGTTTCTGTGTTTTTCCCCCAATATCAAAAGAGGCTGGCAGCCTCCGAGGCTGTGCCCCGTGTGTGAGAGGCCAGTGCTGGGAAGGCATTTGCACCACAGCTCTGATGTCAGGGCAGGATCTTGCTTTTACGTGAATGATTGTTCCTTCCCCTGTGATGCCACCTGTGCTCATGAGAACAGCAAATATTTTGGGAGCTTGCGTTTGAAGCAGCCAAAATGCACGTTAATCTGGGCTGGTTTCCCGAGGCTGGTTTACCAGGGAGGCGCGGAGGGACGGGGCAAGGCGTGGCGGGGGAGTGAGCGAGGCTGCAGCCCTGTTTGCTTGGCAACTGAGCTGCAGTGATAATCACAGATTTTGGAGGAGTGTTTGCCAAAGGAGCTCTGTCTCCTGAGCTCACCGGGAGAAAATGTGCTGGGGCACTGGGCAAACCAGCTCCTCTGGCTAGGCAGTGTGCGTTCAAACTTGGTCTGTTAGTAAAATCCTCCGGTTGCTTGCTTTAGAGTTTGGACACTCAGTTTTTCCTCATCCATCCAGTTCGCCTTTCTTCCTGCTGTGGGTTCTCTGGGCTGGGGATCTGCATGGCCACAGGGGGCTGGGGGTGATGCTGTGACCTTGGCGTGGCCATTTGGAGCGTGATTCTTGTCAGGTGGCCAGGAAAGAAGAAAGGTGTGGAAAATCTAAGTGTGTACGGTTGCACAAGAGGCTTTAAATAATTTAGCAGCTGTTAGTGCTGTTAGCTCCAGGGTTGCAACGAGCAGGCGTCGGGCGGTAACAGCAGGGACCAGTGTTGAGCTGGTGTCTGGAACCGGGGGTGCCTGGGGGTGCGGGTTCGGTCACAGCGGTCAGGTTTCTCAACAAAAAGGGGCAGGAAATTATTGTTTGTTCCTGCATGACTCAGGGGGGTTGTTCCTGCTCAGCAGGGAAGAGCAGAGGTGTAGGTTAGCACTGAGGAAGGAGGGAAAGTGTTACACTGAAGGTTTAACCTGATAAATTGTTTAAATGCACATTTTGGGGGGCTTGAAAGAGTTGGGGTTTGCTTTGGGACGTTAGAAGAAAAAGCAAAAGCCTGCTGTAGTGTCTTCACTGTATGCAGCAACAGGAGCCAGAGGTTTGTCCACAGTTATTGTCCTTTCTGCCTGGTTTTCCCCTCTTTTTTTCTTTAATCTGTTGAGAGCAGTTGATGCTGAGGTTCCCTTTTCTTGCCTCATTGCACACACAAAGCACAATTCCCAAACTTTCCCAGAGCTGGAGCCCATTATGCAGAGAGCTTTATCACTACATCTATGTCATTATCAGGAATTAAGCTAATTGCAATAAAATGCTTTATTTTCCTATGCTGCCTAGGCATTTCAGTAAGTTATTTCTGTTGCTGCCTTCTTTACTGCTAATTCATTGTGACATTAAGGAGTGTAATACATCAGCTTTTCTCTAATACACATTTCTACTTTCTTACATGTTAATGAGCATATTTAACATTTCTTCAGAGATAATTGGATTCCGAGGCTCCCTGTGGTAATGCACTGAAAGCCAGCTAGCAGTGCCTTTAATATCTAAAAGACCTTCTGCATTTGAATAATCCCACAATTAAAATTAGGAATTAATCTCTTGGATGAAACAAAGCTTTCGAGGATACTTTGTTTTGAGGCAGTTTTAATACATATGTTAACCATAGTTACGGCGAAGTTAATTAAAATGTTCTTTTGCATTTCTACCCCAGATCTCAGAAAGGGGCACAGGTATTTCTGATTATTTTATTCCCCTTGATCCTTCTTGTGACAGCAGGATTTTTCTGTGCTTCATTTGCTCATGGCTCATCCAGATGGCTGTTTTAATGCAAAATATAGAAGTCATCTTCAAGTAAATTATTTTCTGAAGGGGCAAAGGGACTCCTGAGTTTCTTTCCTCTTCCGTACCCAGAGCTGTTTAAGTAAATGATGATAGGTGCACTGCTGTGCATGGTGTTATATGGAGAGCACATATGAATTTCTTTATTTCACGTTAAGCAAACCTTTAGTAATTAGAGATCAAGAATAAAGCTAGGAGGGAAGCAGAGGTGAGATGAGATAATTCTTCATAGCAGAAAATGTGGGATAATCTCCCCTCCCTCTGCAGGCACCTGCCTTTCTCTGCCTCCAGAAAGATGCAGGTGCAGCAAACGTGTGCACACACGACCACAGCTGTGTGTGCTTGAGTGGGCAGCCAGGACCCCAGCCCTCCCACCGGGTCTGCTGCCCACCCCCAGACCTTGCTTGGAGACATCCAGCTATGGGGATTTTTGGAAAATCCTCTTCTAAGCATTAACCAGCTTTTTGTGGCAGCGCACAGAAGGCTGGAACTCTCTCCTCTGTGCTCTTCTTCCCCTGCTGCACACGGCTGAGCTCAGAGCTTCTGCTGGGCTAGGGATGGAGGTGGCAGCAGCTTGTCCCCACCTGTCCCCAAGCTGTCCTCACGCTGTCTGCAGGGCAGGTGGGATGGGGCAGCGGCTCCCTTGTGGTCCCTCGTGGCTCTGTCTGCGAAGGCTGAGGGTCAGACCTGAGTCACCTCCTGTGGCCACGGTGGAAGTGAGTCACTGCTGGGCTCCTTCAGGCTGCTCCCCTTGGTGGTGGGGATGATTTTGGTGCCTTTCCCCGTTACCTTCCTCGCTGCCCGGCACTTCAGCGGGAGAGTTTTGCTTCTTTTTGCTAGCTAGTTTTAGATGGAAGGTGCGATTTCAGGGAATGGATTTTCTCTAGCTGGGGTGGAAAGATGCTTTCTGCTGCCCCAAACAGCAGCTCCAAGGAGCGACTGCGGGAGCATCCAGGGCAGGTGGGGAGGAAGCGATGGGGAAGGGCTGGGAGGCGGCCGTGCTGCAGGGATGGGAGCGTGTCTGCAGCAGGGGGTGGGAGGGGGCAGCGAGGACGTGTTGGGAAACTCGACCTGATGGAAACCCCACCAAGGGCAGGCTGGTGGGGTGGAGGAGCTGGCTGGATGAGGTGTGCCAGGGAGGATCAAGGCGTTGCGCTGGGCTGGCAGCCGAGCACCAGAGCACCGGAGCGGGTGCTTTGGGGCACGACAGCGCTCACCAGGCAGGGATCCGTGTGGGGTGGCAGGAGTGGGGCAGGCAGCTGCCTGCACAAATCAGGAGGGATAGGGGGGCACTGGGGGTAAAGCCAGGCTGGTGTCCCTCGTCCTGGCTGCGTTACTGATGCCACTTCCAGCACTGCAATCCCTGACTGCCCTGCCCACTCCACTCTTATTTTCCCAGGAGATGTATAGACAGGGAAATCATCTGCTTTCTTTTAAACATTGGGATTGATCTTCCTTTAGCCTGACTTGCCCAAGAAGGACAGCTTCTATGCTCCCAGTTCTTATACCCTAACCTATTATTTGCAAGCAAATTTGGCACAGTGGTGTGGTTCAAACAAATGCTAAATTTCTACCAGTTTCACAGAAAAAAAAAAAGAAAAAAAAAAAAAGAAAAAAAAAAAGAAAAAAGGCAGTATAGCTTTGGTTAATGCTGCCACAGTAGAAAGGACCAGCCAGTTCTCCCTTTGTTGGGCTGTTGGACACAGGAGAGATGGTGGAAACCAGGCTCTACCAGTTCTGCCTGTGGGCTGCCTTGTTCCAGAGCCGTGTTTCTGTTTGCTTATGCTGCGAAGGTAAACACAGAGGAAGAAACTGGGCACTGGCAGGTGCCCAGCCAGTCTCAGGAACTTCTCCCCGTGGTGTACGTTTCTGCTGAAGTTTAGAGCAGTGCTGTATGGCAATGGAGCTGGTCACAGCCTATGGGCAAAAGCCACCTGGCCCTGAATCCACCGAGATGCTGAACTGAAGCCTGAAAACCAGAGGGGAAAAATGGGATATAAAAAACAAAACAAAACAAACAAACAAACAAAAAAGTGAATCCAGATCCAGTCTGATGGTGGCTGAATGCTATCTGTGTTAAATGTTTTACTTTGTGCAGCTTGGGTGTGCTGTGAAGAGTTTCCCAAGCATGCTAACGGGGTGCTGAGCTCTCTGCTTTCAGCAAAGGGTGGGAGGTGCTCCTTGTAGCAGTGCTTCCTGGTCTCCCCGTGCCTGGAAGCCCCTCTGGAGCTGGTGACTCAGGCCAGGGGAATGAGGACTCCAGGCTGGCACCACTCAGGTGCAGACATGCAGCAGCTGACAGGCTCTGAAGGATCGGCTTCCTCAAATGACTCACCTGGCTCCATGGGATACGCAGTACCAGCCTTGGGGTCAGCAGAGCTGGCATTACAGCGATGCTCCTGCCTCTGGCTTGAGAATCGTGGGCAGGGAAGACTTGTAGCAGCCCGGCTCATGCTTGCTGTTCCCACAGGCTGAAGTTGATTTGGGGAATTAACAACATTTGCCCTCCGAAAGGCCAAGAGAAGGATGTTGGAGCTTGCCACCAAGTGGCTTGTGCTCCCTGACAGCAGTGCGTCCCCCAGAGGTTTCTTAGGGCAGCTTTGGGTGCTGGGTTTGGTGCCAGGCTTCTTTGTTGCCTGTTGGATGCTTTGGGAAATGGGATTTAAGAGATGTCCCGAGAGTGCTGAGCTCCCACCCTGTGAAAATGAGAGCAGCTGAGAGGTCTGTATGCCAGCTCTCAGCAACACTGGCTGTGCCTGAGAAATGAGGCCTTTGCCTGGGGTTTGCAAAAAGTTCGGCCAAAGCCAGGCTGGCTGGCATTTTGTCTTTTCCTTCCTCTCTGCAGGGAAGTGATAAATGACTAGCTGATATGTTCGGAATGCCACAATCACACCTAATGCCTCTTTTCCAGCTGTCCCAATTACACTCCACCCTGATGATGATGAGCTGTCACGAGGCAGAATAATGACAGACGAGTGAGGGGAGGAGATCATGGCGAGGGGAACATGAGAACTGCTAAAGGAACAGAGAGCTGGGAAAGGCAATGAAAGGGCTGTTCATGAGTGCTGAGATGCAAACGCAGCACGTCCCCAGAAAACGTGGACCACTGAAAGGATCTATCTGGATCTGGTCTTCTTGATTTCTTGCTTTGCCATCAGCACTGCAGCCCAGGCTCAAAGCCTCTCTCTGCCACAGATTGTTTGAATTAATAAATAAATATTCACTGAAGTTACAACTGTCATGCACAGCAGAAAAAGAGATTATTTTTTTTTTCAGGCTTAGTTTTCATGAAAAACCATCGATACCTGTGGCCCTGGGTGGTCTCACCCATTGAAGAGCTAAAGAAATCTTTGGTTGTCTTGATGAACACCTCCAGCTTCCTGAAGGCAAAGGCTCTGCCTCCAGGTTTTGTTTTGTTGTCATTGTTTTGTGCTCAGAAGCACCCAGGATGATGCCAGCAAGCTCTGAGCATCAGAGGATGGGTGTTTGCATCTCAAACTTGCCGGCACAACGCAGGCTCTGTTGGCATAGCCATAAATACTGGGGTTGCGACAAGAAGTGCCAACCAGGACGATGAGAGCGTGTAATGAGAAGTTATTTTGGTAATTGAGATCATGTTGGAGAGCACAACAATTTGTAAAGGACAGCTTAGTAATACCGTGTCAAAGGAATATCTATCTTGTAACAATGAGCTGAGCTTATCTGACTTTGCAAGTGCACATTTGGGACTACAGTAAACAGTATTCCTCTGGTTCATCCTAGTTATTTTTACATTACTATAGGCTATCTTCACTAATGTTTGATTTATAATTGCTTCCAAAGTCTGATACTGCAGATCTAATCTAACTCGTAAAAGAATTGTATTACAACATAATGGATAATACATATAGTTCCAGGCACGATAATCTGGCACGGTGTCTTGAGAATGAAATCTGTTGATTTATTTACTGGGAGGGAGATGGGGTGGGTGAGGAAATAGCTGACAAACTTTTCAGATTCATGAAAATTTATTCCCTCAATCCAGTAAGCTGCAATTATTGCTACAATATAAGGAACTCATTTAATCTCTTTGCAAATGCACGCAGCACACTAACACGTAGGGATGTTTTATTTGATGTGCATATGGAGACAGAAAAATCCTTCCTAACAGAAGACATTAAAGACCCAGCCATAATCCAATAAAACCGGCTTTCATCGAGCAGCTGTTTTGGATGCCTGAGCTGGTTCCCATCATTTTTCCAGGCTGCCCTGAGCCGGGAGCGGGCTTGATTGCAGCAAGCAGCCGTGCCAGCAAACAGAAGCCCGCAAGCGAGTGCCCCTGGGAGCATGGAGAGCCCAGGGTGCCAGCGCCAAGCAGAAGGGGGCTGCGAGAGACATCAGGCTGTGGTACCCCATCTGCAGGGCGGACAGCTGCAGAATGACTGGCAGATCCTTCTCCCCCTGGCCTTTCTATTACTCATTTTTTAAGGCTTTATCCATCTACTGCATCAGGCTGCTGCTAGTATTTAGATATATAACTCCATTTCTGGGGAATGTTACGTGCGGGGAACTTTTAATTACGCAGCATTTTACTCAGTCTTAACTGGACATTGTGCAACAAAACTTGCATTTCTCAGCATTATTCTTTGCCTGGTGTTTTCTGCAAGTTCTTCCTATTCAGCATTTGCTCTTTCTTCACCTGAAATACCTTCTGTCATTTTATATCTCCTTAAAAGACCTTTCTCGAGCTATGTTAAAATCATGCCTTTGAGCTACTTTTCTCAATATTCTCATAACAATTTCAATCTAAGAGACCATTAAAAAAGAAGATAGAAAACCCAAAGGCAAAATCCTAACTGAATTTAAGACAGATTGTGAAAGTAGTTATTTATATGTGGGAAGTAAAAAGGTTGAAGATGATGAAACGGGTCTCTGTGAATGCAATTAATATGTGCATTGCACTTTTGCCATTATTATTGCAGTTAATATTAGGCAATAAAAATAAGGGCTGTAATTATCAGATGATTGAAAAGTATTTTTTATTTAACGTGAAGCAATTTTCTCTCCTGTTGATACACAAGAAACTGAGAGACTCACCAGCAGAGGTCTCATTGATGCAGTGGATCCTTTCTTATCTTGTGTGCCTGCTGCTGCCGCTCAGTTCTTGCCTCGCAGCCAGTTCTGACACCGGGACAGACACCGCTCCACGATGGCTGCAGTGCGGGTGTTGAGGCAGAAAGATGCTCGTGGGGACGGGCAGGCACCATCACCTTTGCCTGTGCCCTTGGTGGAGTCGGTGGCTGCAGGCTCCCCGGTGCTCTGGGGTGCGCAGGGTCCCGCAGTGCTCTGGGGCACACATGGCTCTGCACAAACCACACTTAGAGGCGTACAGGTATCCACGTGTGTAACCAGGCACTGATCGGGGCAAGGATCACCGCTGATCACAGCCTGAGCACCGCAGGGCTCCACCGGCAAGGCCGTGCAGCTGCTGGGCAAGGTCTCCATGCAGGTCTCAAGCACTTCGATGGTGCAGGGTTCCATCGGTGACACGGGGTGCTGGTGAGGGAAAGTTTCCCCACATGTCCCCACGATCTCAGGACTGCAGGGTTCTATTGGCAAGGTTGTGGGCTTCACTGGGAAGCTGGTCCCTCCCTGGCTTTGTTGGAGGTCACAGGGGACAACCGCTGGACACACGCAGGTGGTGACACACGGAGATGTGCAAGAGTTGCAGGCAGGTGTCAGCTCAGGGCAGCAGGCGTCCCCAGGCACAGGGACAGCTGGAGGTGCACAGGCAGGACTCAGCTGAAGGCACACATCCAGGCATGGGGCTGCACCCTGGCATTGGCAGGGATCCACCTCAGAAGTCTGCTCCGGACAGGGATGCACATCCTGTTTGGGGCAGGTGCCTTTGTCCACTGCGGCACAGCATAGTGGGCATGCGGCAGTGAGCACAGCCGCCCCCATGCAGGCAGGAGGGTGAGACATCTTTCACCACTGTGGGCAAGCCTGAAAGAAAACAGATCAATCTGGTGTCCAGTAACACAAAACTTCAGACTGTTTGCTTTCTTGGTTGGTGAATTCTTCAGCAAGGTACTTGCTGCTCATGCCGCAATTGGGCATGACATAAGGAATAGAGAGAAAGCTGGCTGTTTGTTATTTCAAATTCTACAACCATTCCTTACAAAGAGAACTTTGGTCATGCTGTTTTTCTTTATCAACACCCAAACTCAACTTTTCTATTTAAAATTGGTTTTCAGCCAAACAATTCCACCCTAGCAGTATGTCCTTGCACAGATAGCGATGGATTTCATTAACATTTTCAGCAGAGCTGTAAACTTCAAGGTATTCTCCTCTCTTTTGCAGGTATTTTCTAATTGCCCTATTTGCCCTTGCAGAACACCCATCTTGCAGCTGCTGCAAGAGGAGCAGCTGTCACCATCCTGTCTTTGCCATTGCTAAAGGCAGCAACAGGCTCAACAGGAAAAAGCCAGGACGTGCTGCCTACTGTGGGGCCAGGTGCTCTTACCTTGGCCGCTGCCGTACCGATGCTGTAGTCACTTCACCACTTAGATGACAGCCACATGCACAGCAGTTTCGTCTCCTCGGTGAGCAGGATGGTGTGTTAGCCCTCTAAATCCAGTGCTGGGACGCCAGAAATCATTTTGCAGAGCATCCATGGGAGTTACAGCAAAGCAAGCATGAAGGGAGAAGATTATTACTCTTTCAAACTCTTATCACCAATGATATGTGAGAGCTAATAAACAATTTTCCTTACATAGTGGGTAGCAGTAATCTATCTCAGCAGAAGTTCCACGCCAGTAGTAGTCTTAGATCCGTAAATCTTGAAGATACTTACCCTGCTCAGTATCAGCAAATAAAGCCAGCAAGCAGACCCAGCAACTTTAACCTGGGATCTGCCTTGTATATGCAAGAGCCTGGCCTCCGGAGATGAGGTGCCTCAGGCACACAGACAAGCAACCCTTTGCTAACATGGACCTGCTCCGCCTCTGCCCTGCCTAATTATTTTTAATGGAAACCATCTATTTCCGTGGCTGCAGCATAACCTCGAGTGAGCCCAGATAGCTTGCAAATTCACGTGTCCTTCCAGCAGGGCTGACGTCAGAGAAGAATTTGGGAAATGAATGGATTCAGGGCTTGCTGCCAAATAGTCAGCCAGTCATGGGCAGTTTTTCTGTGACGGTAAAACATCCTCCAGCCCAACACATCATTGAGGGCCATTAGAGACTGGGTGGGATGTGGGATGTGGGAGATTCCTTTACTTTTAGCCACATCTGACCTGCTTCTGTCACTGCCCCTGTCCTGTTTGGATGTGGCACTACTAGTTGTAGGGTCCTGGTGTGCTTCTGGAAACTCTTATATCATCGCCGGTCTCGTGATGTTTTGCATTTTCTTCTAGAACTCTGACTCAGGTAACAAAGCAATATTCCTTCGCCAGGTTTTTGCCTTTATCCCTGCACAGTTGCACCCCTGAAGAGCAGAGGGCTGACAAGAGGATTGACCACCAAGCTTTCCCCTTCAGCCCACTGGTTTACCAAAGGCAGCTGAATTACGCCAAGGATTTACTCAAATTGCTGTGGTCGGAAGAACGTTGGCAACCCAAGTGGTCACGCATCCTGAATTTATTTCTTTCTATTCAAATAACCAAAAGCCACTATGTGGGGCATCACCACACTCAGCAGCATGTATACCACACACTTAGAGGGAGGTCAGAACGCAGACACAAGCATGCACATTTGTCTCTGGATGATGTATGAGCTCGTCTCTGCACGCAGGTAATACTGGTTCAATGTTTGTGTCACCAAGTGACTTAGGGCTAGTTAGGAGCAAGCAGAGAAGGAAGTCTCAGCCTCTTTGATCCCTCAGATGCAATGAACTCATTGGATCTCCCTTCTCTCTTATAGTGAGGGGATTTCAAATGAGAACTTTGTTACTTGACCACAATTGTGGCAGGAAGGACCATGCAGCTCCATGCTGCTGCAGTCACACACTGTTTGCTATCTTGTGAAGGGTGCGTCTTGGTCTCATTTTAGCCCACATTGTGAGCACAACAAATCAAACAGGGGCCCTACCACGGTGATTAAAGGTCTTAGCACAGTGAAGTCTTCCCTGGCTGCCTTGCTGCCAAAATCATAACAAATTTATATATATATATATATATATATGTATGTATGTATGTATGTATGTTGTCTGTAGGTTCATGCCCGGTGTGCAGTGCCCACAGAATCAGAATCCACACAAAGGTTTTTTAATTAAATAATTAATTTAATTCTTTCCTTATTTTCTCGGCTAAAAGACTACACAAGCTACAAAAACACTATACACTACACAAGCTACAGGCCTCCCTGTTTTCTTCAAGGTTTCCTTGTCTTTTCCCCAGCTTTGGGACTACATATATATGTGTATATATATATGCATATATATATATTTGTATTTTTTTTTTTTGCTAGAATACTGAGTTTGATTGAGGAGCACTGATGTTATGGAGCCACCCAGAAGATATGGGTCCTCCCATTGCTCTGCTGCTCTTCTTGGAGCTCACGCTTAGGTGCAGGGTCTGAGTACTCCCCTCCTAAGACATGTCCGTGATCCAGTTTGGAGCCCAAAGTGCAAGAAAGACTTCAACAAACTGGAGCAAGTCCAGCAGGGACCCCCAAGGTGTCCAGGGGCTGGAGCAGGTGGTGGGTGGGGAGCAGGCCAAAGGACCTGCTGAGACTGGGGAGGAAGAGGCTTAGGGGAGATCCTCGTGCTCCCTGCAGCTATCCATAGGGTATTAATGTTGAAGACAGGCTCTTCTTAGAGGCACCCTGAGACAGGTTGGGAGAGAATGCTTGATTGTGGCAACAAAAGAAATACTGGCCAGGTTACCTGGAATACATAATTTTTGTAAAAAATAAAAAAAATTTTGTTGGGACGGATAGTGTATACAAGGAAGAGCACGGAAACTGACACACTAGAGCAGAACGAAGCTGTTCCAAGTCCTATACCACATACACCACTTCTGCTGTGACCACAGGGTGTCACAGCAGAAGGTGCAAGAAAATGTACTAAATTAATTTTTATTGAAAGATCAATTTAATCCCAAGGGGATTGTTTCCATGCTGTATCATCTGTTCTTTGCTCCCCAACCCCCATACGAAATACGTAGATGAGGAATTCAGGCTCGCAGGCAGATGTCATAGGTTGCATGTACCACCTCAATGGAGAGGTTTCATTAAAAATTATAATGTAAGCAGGTAATTTAAGGATTGGAGGTGGAGCAAGTCTGGATTATTACAAATTTTATTTCCATACCCCTGAGGTGTCTCACTTCCGGGGACACGGACACTGAAATCGTATAAAAGGGTTCATATTGTGGGGTTTCTCAAACCATTTTGGTTTCGTATGCTAGTTCCCGGTGGTGAATTGGGTAAGTCTCTCTTGGCTGACTGGGAAGTAATGTAAAGGCTGGGGTTATTTAATTTTAAATATTATCTGCAGAAGCAAGCTAGAAGACTTACAAGTACTTCTGCTTAGCGAGATTTGTATGTGGTACTTATCAAGCAGCTAAGTTAAGGGTGACTGGTCATTCTGTCTTCCTCCAACCTCTACTTGCTTTATGTTTTGCAATTGCTGTGTGCTTTCCATCGAGGTGCGTCTCAGGGTAGGTGAGAGTGGCCCAGCCTCTCTCCTTCCCCAGTGACACTGTAGCCCGGTTTTAACCAGGAAATTGTTGGGTTTGAGAGAGATCAAAAGGCAAGGCAAGGACTTCAAAGGCAAAAAAGTGGGAGGGAAGATAAGAAGTGGAGCCTGGCAGGCTGCAGGGGTAAGCGGCGCCTGGAAGGGTGTCTGGGTGGGGAGATCTGCGAGGAGCTCTGTGGGAGAGCCGGAGAAGCCGCGGCCCATGAGGGCCAGGCCCTGTCCCGGGGGGAGGCTCCCAGCACGGGGCCTCGCCGTTCGGCTTCCAGCCTGTGTGTGGACAGGTAGCCTTCAGAGGCTGGAAGTATCCCTCTTGGGCGGACACCAAGAGGTAGTGGCAGAGAGGTAATCCCAAACCGAGGGGAGCCCTGGGAAGGTGGAGGCTGTCGCACCATCAGACCCCGTCATGTAATCTACCAAAGTCTGAGTGACACCGCTTCTCGCTCCTCTTTTGAGAAGTTGTTTGCGACTTATGTACAGCTGGTGGCTACAACCTGAAATGCTTTCATGTGGAGTTAGTGCCCTGCTTGGGTTTCAGTTTGTTTCTCCAGTATGGGGCTCAGAGTTCCACCGGAAAAAGTGCGGATTAACTCAGTCTGTGAAATAGCCTTGGGAAAGCTGAATGCCTCTGTTTTCCACACAGTGTATTCCTTTCCCTCTTTCAGACATTCTCCCTCCCTCAAAGATGCTTTGCCAAAATGACTGCCAGCGCAGACAGCCCTGCCTCCCTCCTAACATCGTCTTCTTGAGGAACTTGCCCGTGAATAGAAGCGTTGGTCCTGCCAGCACCGTCTGTAACATCGAGTGCTTGCCCCGCTGCACGGATCCCTGCTACTATGCCAGGGTTCCTCGGGGCACCACCACATACATAAACCTGTCTAATCTTGGCAGGAGACAGATTTCCCTGGATCCGTGCTGGTTCGGAATCCCCACGTGTGTGGATCCCTGCTGCCAGGACCAGAACAGGTGCACTACCAGGTGTGTGGATCCCTGCTGTCAGGACGTGACCAAGTGCACCACCACATGTGTGGATCCCTGCTGTCAGGATGTGACCAAGTGCACCACCACATGTGTAGATCCATGCTGTCAGGATGTGACCAAGTGCACCACCAGATGCGTAGATCCCTGCTGTGAGGAGGTGACCAAGTGCACCACCACATGTGTGGATCCGTGCTGCAAGGAAGTGACCAAGTGCACCACCACGTGTGTAGATCCCTGCTGTGAGGAAGTGACCAAGTGCACCACCAGATGTGTAGATCCCTGCTGTGAGGAAGTGACCAAGTGCACCACCAAATGTGTGGATCCGTGTTGCAAGGAAGTGACCAAATGTACCACTAGATGTGTGGATCCATGCTGTGAGGAAGTAACCAAGTGCACCACCAGATGCGTGGACCCATGCTGCAAAGAAGTGACCAAGTGTACCACCAGATGCGTGGACCCATGCTGCAAGGAAGTAACCAAGTGCACCACCAGATGCGTGGACCCATGCTGCAAGGAAGTAACCAAGTGCACCACCAGATGCGTGGATCCATGCTGCGAGGAAGTGACCAAGTGTACCACCAGGTGTGTGGATCCCTGCTGTGAGGAAGTGACCAAGTGTACCACCAGGTGTGTAGATCCCTGCTGTAGACCTGTGACCAAGTGTACCACCACATGTGTGGACCCATGTTATGGCAGATATACCAAGTGTACCACCAGGTGTGTGGATCCCTGCTGTGGAGGTGTGACCAGATGCACCACCAGATGTGTGGACCCATGCTGCAAGGAAGTGACCAAGTGCACCACCACATGTGTGGATCCATGCTGTGAGGAAGTAACCAAGTGCACCACCAGATGTGTGGATCCATGCTGCAAGGAAGTGACCAAGTGTACCACCAGGTGTGTGGATCCCTGCTGTGAGGAAGTGACCAAGTGTACCACCAGGTGTGTAGATCCCTGCTGCAGACCTGTGACCAAGTGTACCACCACATGCGTGGACCCATGTTATGGCAGATATACCAAGTGTACCACCAGGTGTGTGGATCCCTGCTGTGGAGGTGTGACCAGATGCACCACCAGATGTGTAGATCCCTGCTGTGAGGAAGTGACCAAGTGTACCACTAGATGTGTGGATCCGTGCTGCAAGGAAGTAACCAAGTGTACCACTAGATGTGTGGATCCGTGCTGTGAGGAAGTGACCAAGTGTACCACCAGATGTGTGGACCCGTGCTGCAAGGAAGTGACCAAGTGTACTACCAGGTGTGTGGATCCCTGCTGCAGACCTGTGACCAAGTGTACCACCACATGCGTGGACCCATGTTATGGCAGATATACCAAGTGCACCACCAGGTGTGTGGATCCCTGCTGTGGAGGTGTGACCAGATGCACCACCAGATGTGTAGATCCCTGCTGTGAGGAGGTGACCAAGTGCACCACCACGTGTGTGGATCCGTGCTGCAAGGAAGTGACCAAGTGTACCACCAGGTGTGTGGATCCCTGCTGTGAGGAGGTGACCAAGTGCACCACCAGGTGTGTGGATCCCTGCTGTGGAGGTGTGACCAGATGCACTACCAGATGTGTAGATCCCTGCTGTGAGGAAGTGACCAAGTGCACCACCAGATGTGTTGATCCGTGCTGCAAGGAAGTGACCAAGTGTACCACCACGTGTGTGGATCCCTGCTGTGAGGAAGTGACCAAGTGCACCACCAGATGTGTAGATCCCTGCTGTGGGGATGTGACCAGATGCACCACCACGTGTGTGGATCCCTGCTGTGCACCCTGCTTTATGCAGCCCACCCCTCTGTGTGCCAGTGTCTGCGGCAAGCAGTACTCCATCAGCTGTGCCGATATCTGTTTTCGTAAGTGAGGGCTCCCTGAGCAGCTGTGTGCAGGGGGCTCCTGCAGTGGGAGCCACCAGATGACCCCTCTGAGGTTCCTCTGCTCTGTGGTTTCCCCAACAGCTATGGAATGAAAACGGTTTGCAGACCCCTGAACCCGTCGACGTCTTCCTCACCTTTCGGCTTCCCTTCTGCCCTTCCTCTCCTAGGAAGGGTAGACCCACACATGGTTTTCCTTGCATTCTGCATCGTTTCTAATGTATTTATCTAAAGCGCAATGCCTTTCCTTGTAACACAGAACCACTTGATTTTGTGCCCCCAGGATTATTGCCTGGGAGAGGGATTCTGTAATTCTTTTCTGCACTGATGTGGATGGAGGAATTTCCCTGTTTGTTCTTCCTCACCATCTTTTCCTTTTCTTGTATTAAGCAATAAAAACAATTAATCTTGGCAACAGCTGTCTGCAAGTTTTCCTTCCATTTTGCACACCCCCAGACTCACACTTCCTCCTTTTAATTTCTTCCTAAATGTCTGATCTCTGCAGAGTGGCAGCTAATGTTAGAACACATGGCAAGGTCTAAGGCAATAACAAGGGTTCCCCGTATGATGCCTGGGAAAGGGGGTGTTTGTTGTATGTGTCAAGGAAACACAGCTCTGCCATGGTTATGAAAGACATTGAAAATGCAGCTGAAGTGCTCCTGAAGCTGGAGGAGCTTAGGGCCTGCTGTGTTTGCGTCCCACAGGCAGAAAGAAAACATTCCCTTACTAGCAATGGGTAAACGACCCACTAATGAAGGGAAGACAAGCAGGGTTGGGAGACTGCTTGTGCCTTGTGACATTGCCACCTGTGCGCAGGAGGTCCTATCTCAGCCTCTTGCAATCGACTTGCACTTCCTTGTCTCTGGTGGCAATTGGGCAAGTCTCATCAGCTGGGGAGAGCAACATGGATTTGCTCACCACTGAATTCTGCAGAAAGGATAGCAGTATTAGCAGGGTATCTTGGACAATTTTAGTAGCCCTCCATGAACATTTATTGACAAGGATCTGAGTGCTTCCTCCTTAGCACAGTATTTGCTGGCAGAGCTCTCCTCCAGGAATGAGCAACGTCCCCAAGGACTCAAAGTTGTGTTGTTCTGCATGCCACGGTTGTGCTCTGTGGGTTCCCTGAGTGGAGATGGTGCAGGGTGGGCTCAGAGCCAGCAGCAGCTGCTGAAGGGAGGAGAGTTGGGGAGGCAGGTGTGGGGCAGCCGGCCCAGCTGCTGAAGCAGCAATGTGGGCACATCTCCGTCTGCAAGCACCCACTGCCTTGTTTTTAAAGATGCCCCAGAGGCACGAGGCTGGTGACTAACCTGCAATTATCACCGTCTCGCTTTTTCTAGTAGAGGAGTTGGACCAATAGTGGGATGTGATAACTCATACCTGGCAGACGTGGCATTGCACGCGGCTGGGGAGATCCGGCCTCGCGCAAATCACCCCACCCTCGTGGCTCTCCTGTTTCCATCCTCCCCTCCCGGTGGGTCGTGGCGGAGCCCAGCTCTCCCTGCTGGTTGTGCAGCACTTGTGGGTGCAGGGTCCTTGCCAAGGGCTAAGGCATTGCCTCAGCACAAATGCTACCCAACAGAAACACCAAAGCAATTGAGGCTTCCTAATCACCCCTCTGTGGAGGTCTGGTTTGACTCCAAGGCTCCTCTAAAACTCACTTAAATGTTCTGTGCAAGCAATGATTACTTTTGCTCCTGCTCCCAAATCCAATGGAACACTCTTCTGGGAAATAAGAAACTGTAGATGGAAAAAAATAACATTCAGAAAAGATTATTCCTTAAAATCTTTCTCTAAGGCATCCTTCTGATGGCCTGAATCTTGCATTATCTTTAATACTACATATGAACTTGGAAACTCAGTGTTTTAAAAGGATGGGGCCTTTGCAGCAGAGAGCAGACACGTCATTGCTAGGTGGGCATCACAGGTTTATGCCATAGGAAGAGGAACAGAGACCCCTTTTCCTGAGCCACTGAAAATTTACACTACATCTATGAAACTCTCATAAATGTTTGGGAGAAAAGTGAAGTTCAGCATGATCAAGTACAGCAGACCTGCAGTTTTTGCTCTCAGGCAACAAGCTTTGAGCTCTATCATGTATTCCTGAGAGATCAGGACACTGCTTTGTTCAGTAAAATACAAGTCCTAAAGAAATCCAGATTCCCATTCCAAAGTGTTGGGAAATCAGAGCAAATACCTGCAATAGTCAGAAGGCAAAAGATAAAATGGATGAGTTATTTTTTTTCAACCACAGCTAGTTCCTCTTTTTCAGATTTAATTGCATTCAGATGTTCACTTGTCATTCTTCATGGAGCACTCACCTTCCTGAGTAAACAGGAAAAGAGGTGGATAGTGCTGTGTTTGGGTTCCTCTCAGCCCCAGAAGTAATGATCTAATTACTTGATCAAATAGTCCGGAGGGCATGGACTAGACAAGCCACTTGTTTTCATGTGAGGCTAATTGCATTCTGCACTCAGACTCCTGGCATCTCAGCTATGCGAGGATTTCCAAAGCTGGAGCAAGGTCGGGCAACCTGGGACCGGCCCGCCCTGGAAGCTGCCCTCAGTGCCGTGAATGTTCCCAGTTGTGGTAGGGAATGATGAGAGGGGAAAGTCAGGTGTAATGACGCCAAGGACTTTAAGATTTAATTGCAGCAAAGTGCAGGAATGTCCTGGGAAGGCATTGCCATGTTGAGAATAGGGGAAGAATCTTTGGTTTCCATGAAAATGCTTTGTTCACTCAAATGTGGGTAGTGTACTATACGGGATGTTGCGCATACACAAAGCTTCTTCCAGTACAGGGTCTCATATGACATCCCCAATGCCAACTGGTGCTGGATGCAACAGAGGAACAAATCTTACTTAGGAGGTTTTTGGGTAAACCAAAGGATTCAAAGAAATCCACAGGTGTCATACTTCTGACATCTTTAGGAGTTTTTGAAATAGTTATTCTATATTAGCAGAAATCCAGCTAACAGCCCAAAGCAGTGCATACTGAAATAGTTGCACAGGGAAGAATTTCAGTTTAGGAGGTTTCCATCAAAAATTATGACATCTACAGATATTGAAGTTGTGTATTTATGTTAATAATCATGTCTCTGTGACCATGGTGTGTTTCACATCTGCAGGCAAAATTTTTATAGGTATAGGAAGAGAGCTCCAGTCTGGTTGTGCCACCATCTTTGTTAGCTCTTGATGGTGAGATATGAGGATTATTGGGAACCAAGTGTATTGACTGTGCTTTTTTTTTTTGTTTTTTCCTGATTTCTTCATAAGCATTTTTCTGAACACCAGAGTACTTTGCCCAAGGGGCTCTTCTTCTGCAACACCAGCCAAACCTCTGGGTAGAAGAAGTGTCACTCTGACTCCTTCTGGGATCCAGGAGCCTCTTGTTCAGGTTGCTCTCTGCAGTCCTCTTTTCATCAAATAGCTACTCATTGCACCAGCCTCTGCTTCTGCGAGTGAGCTTAATGTCTGCCATTTAATTAAGTAGATCCCAGAAGCTGCGGCTTTGGAATATCATTTCTATCCAGTTCTTTTGCCAAAGGATGATGGCCGTGAACGGATGTCGCTGTGGAGTCCTGACTCACTGAACCTAATGTGACTAGTCAAATAGCCAAATTGCTCATAAATATAATAGAGATCCACAAATAAGTGTCAATTAAAAATAATAATCCATCCCTCTGGTGTTCCCACATATTACAAATGCAGATCAATTTATATCTCCTAAAATATCTATTTCTCCTGGAAGTTGTTACAATTTCTTGCTAATCAAATATAACAATAGGGTTCACAATAACACACTATAGAAAGGGAGACGTAGAACCAGTCATCACCATTGGTTTCAGAAATGAGCCTGGAGCCCCAGGAAAGCATGAACGGTACAAACCAGGCCAAGAGAACCCCCCCCAGCAGAATAAGCAATGGTGGTAGCTGCTGTGAGGGGACCTAGAGGAGCTGGAGGGCGATTGCTGGTATTGCACAGCAAGGTTAGCGCTAGGTGGAGGAGATGGGGAGATGTTTATCCATCAAAATACTAGACACATAAATCTCATCTGGTTGCTCTCAGTATGTTTTATTATCTTTGGGGCCTATCTGTTGCAGTCATGGCTCTTCCTCCTCACCCTGAGGCAGATATGCAACATGAGCAAAACCCACTGTACAAGTCCCTATTCCTGTCATCTACAAAAGCTGCTGGTGCAAGTCTGGGGGGGGAAAAAGGCACATGATGCACTACGTCTATGCTGCAAATGAAGAGAGGAGCGGAAAGAATGAACAAACCATGAGGTGCTCCCAGGAAGATGCCAAGAGCAATGCAAATCTGCTCACATGAGTTTAGGTCAGGAACTCCAGTTCCCCCGTGTAAACACTAGAAAGGAATCGGCGCCGATGCCTGTCATTCTCCAGCAGAACTCCTGATGTCCAGTATAAACAGGATGCACTGCTCATGCTGAATGGATTGTTGCTGTTTTTTTCTGCTCATTCAGCATTTTTGTAAGTGATCTAGTTGGGGAATTTAGCCACCCAAATGTAGCCCAGTGATCACATTCCACCTCTGTGATTGGAATATCTTGGAGAAATAAAGATTTTCTGTGCTGTGAAGCTGAGTGACATATCACAACTAGGAAAATGATTCAATAGCTAACATGGAGTTCTGGGCCTTAATTCCACTTAAACTGAAGTAAATTTACACTGTTCTAGCAATGGAAAAATAGGCCTTTAAAATGTGTGCCCCTCTGTTTTGCCCCGAATGGCTTGAAGAGGTCCTCAGGGTGACTGGAGTTGTGTCCCCTTTGGCATTGCCAAGCACGAATGCTGTTAATAGGGCAGCAGTATGGAGAGGAAGGGGCTGGGTGTATTTAATGTTTAAAAAGGTCCTGGAGAAACAGAAACCTCAATATACTGTGGAAGTATTGATGGCACACTGTAGGATTAGCTCCCTCTTAGCATGAGAATTAGGAGAAAATATTTCTCAGAGTAAATCAAATCAATTAATTGCCCGTCTTCACTAATAATAGCCATCTGTTCTTGCTTCATTGAAAATACAACTAAGGTATTATTCAGACATTTATGGAAATAAGGAGTTTAAAATATCCAAGCATACTAAATCTTTTTGGAAAAGCAATTAATGCTGTACCTATCTGATTATTATTTTTTGATTACTGTGTCATTCCCGTTGGGAACTGCATGACTTGGGTATTAGGTGGAAACAGATTTTGCTCAGAATCACATGCCTTGCCTGGAAGAAGGTTTCCATCAAAAATTATGTTGTAAACAAATATGTAAAGCATGTATAGGTGGAGCTTATTCAAGTTGTTAGTGGTCAGGTGTCCATACCCCTGGGCTTCTTCGTTTCCGGAGATGACGCCACGCAAGCCATATAAAAAGGTTTGCATTTTGATGCCCACATCAGTTCATTTGACTTCTCCCTCACTCACTTGTGTTGGTGAACTGGTAAGTCTTTATTGGATTTATCAGGGAATAATATGATAACTGTGTTACTCGGTTGTTCTGGTCAAAAGAATATACTAGCTATCACAGGAGAGCTTTGCTTCAAGTGTTCCTGTTTCAGGATTTTGTCTTGGGATGGGGGGAAGAAATGTTGGACTCTTTTAGAGTTTGTTCCTCTGTAAGTAGCTTGCAAATGTCCTGTCACCTGTTGGGAAACTATCTGTCTCTTATCCTCCTTCATATTCACTCTTCATTAATTTATGTAAACCTCATTAAGTCAGGAAATTATATAAATTACTGGATGCTGCAGAGTAAGACCTGGGACTTCAAAAGAGATGGCTGGGAAGAAGCACTGTCAGTAAGAAGGAAGCTGCAGGACACCTGAGGGCTGCACTGCAGGAGGCATCTGTGAGAAATCAGGATGAGGAATTGAATCAGAAATAGGAGCTGCAGCCTCTGGCCCAACCCTTCCCTTATGAAGGGAGAAGCCCATTAATTTTGATGCAACTCCAATGATGAACCACGATATACAGCAGGGAGAGCATCTGAACTTGTGGTCTTTGGGATCTATCCTCTGGGATTAGCAGCTCAATGTCTACACAAATGGGGATGTGCTCTGTTGTGTGTCTGAGGAACTGAAAAACTGATGGACAGAGGATGGGCTCTGGAACATCTGACGACTTAAATAAGAAAATAAGGAAATAGACAATTTTAACATTATGGCTTCTTCAAAGTTAAACTGTGTGCAACTGTTAAGGGTTTATGGTTGTAGTTTCTCTAACACTGATGCTTGCAGGTTCCCAAGAAAGGAATAATCTGGTAGTGCTAGTTGTATGTATTTGAATGCAGAAATCATTCACACATGCAACTTTTCCTAATAGGCCTCTTCTGAATCCACCAGCTAACTGCTATGTATGTTTTAAGGGCTTAGGTTGGGAATTGTGCCTTACAGAGAAAAGACAAATGTCCTGATCTTGTCTCTCTCTTGTCTTTGCCTCCAGCTTTGCCAGCACCCCAGAAGAATGTCTTACTACGAGCAGTGCAAGCAGCCCTGCCTGTTCCCTTCCTTCTGCGTGAAGAAATGCAACCAGTGTGTGGAGCCCTGTGAGCCGGTGTGCGTGGAGCCCTGCAGCAACATCTGCGTGAAGCCATGCTCCACGCAGTGCGTGGAGGTCTGTGCCCCTAAGTGTGTGGATGTCTGCCAGGCTCCCTGTGCCTCCGAGTGCACCACATGCTGCACCACCCAGTGCGTGGAGCCCTGCAGCACCCAGTGTACCACCCAGTGCACCACCCAGTGCGTGGAGCCCTGCAGCACGCAGTGTACCACCCAGTGCGTGGAGCCCTGCACCACGCAGTGCGTCGAGGTCTGTCCCCCCACATGCATCGATGCCTGCATAAAGCCCTGTGAAACCCAGTGCCCGACCCACTGCACCACCCAGTGCGTGGAGCCCTGCATCAGCCAGTGCTGCACCAAGTGTGTGGAGCCCTGCCCGCCGGCGTGCGTGGAGGTGTGCGCTAAGAAGTGTGATACGTGCGAGACCGTGTGCCTGGAGCCATGCGGCACTGTCTGCTCTCACCCGTGCTAATTGCCTTAATTGAATGGGCCTTGCGAGCACCCCCAACACTTTGGTGCATTGCAATATCCACGGGCTCATGAGCATCCATGGAATGAAACACAGATTACAGACCCACCTGCGACGTACCAAGACCTCTCCCAACATGGTTATCCCACGTTTTCTTTGACTTGGAAAATATTTCTCTGAATTTTTCCAGCCTGGACCTTTTCTTCCTATGCTACTTCTGCTACTTCTAACTCAGCGCCTTTTTCTTGGTAACTGCAGTTGACCATTATTATACCACGGGGCATCTTGGCAGAGGCTGTGCTATGAGAAGTTGGTGTTGGAAGATGTCTCCACTTCCATTCTATAATTCTCATCTTGTCTTTTAATGCATGTCTTCTTGCCTTTCAATGTCTATGTGCAGCAATAAAAATTGACCATCGATGGCATAATGTGTCTTCTGTCTTTCTTTTGTCCCCCAATTCCTGTGTCTTCGGACCCAAGAACATCTTCCTTTAGTTTTCCTTTTAAAAAGCTTGTACGGCTGTAGAGGATTTGTGTCTAAAATGCAGTGCTGTGAACAGAGAGAGCATGCATTATAACGTTGGACAATATTAATACCATAAACAAAACATCAGCTGATGAACACTTTCCTGACAGGTATCACAGTTCTGGTCTACCTCAGAGTAATGATACAAATTTTTTTTTTTTTGATCTTTATGTCTCTGTGTTTTGGGACCAAACCTTAGGAACTGTTAAAACGTAAATTTAAGTGGAAGAAAACCCCAAGCCCAAGAGAGAAATCATTGAAACCTAATGGTGAGTTTTTAATTATTTATTTAAATCAATCTGATGGAGATGAAAATGGTATTTTCAGGGAACCTTTCCCATGATCCTCGCTGACTAAAGATAGAAAGTAGGGGATTCGGCTTCAGGAGATGAATGTTTTTGTGGTTCAGGAACAGGTCCTAGCCCTGCAAGTTTGCAGTTTTGGTCCAAAGTTTGCTGTAGATACTTTGTGTGGCTTTGGGCAAGTCTTACCATTGTTATCTATCCATTCCCCATCTGCAACGAGGAGAAGTTACCTCCCCAGCTGATAAAGTAGTTGGCATTTCAGGTTCATTAACACCTGGCAGGGGACAATAATATTTGAATTCACTTACAGATGCATCCTCTTTATCTAGAGACACAATTCTGAAACTGAAGGAGGCCCATTGTCTGGATGGATGTTGTACCCATTTAGACGTCGAGTTTCGGAGACAACGCTCCCATTGTCTTACATACCGTGCATGTGACTTGCTTACCTCTGTCTCCATGATGGCCATACAATTTCCATGTCTGGGATGAAGAGAATTATTACCCACCTACCGTGTCATTATGTCAAGGGTGGAGGAGGACTAATCTAGAAAAGAAAAGAGTTATATTTAGGTGTGTGTAAACACTGTTACCAAATCAGCATCTAATGAAACCTTGTGTGCAGGTTTGACAGTAGATTATTTTTTGTCTTATTTCTGTCAACGCCAAAAGGTGATATCATCAGAAAGGAATAATGATAGACAAAATACTGTATCTCACTAAGGCAAAGAAATTCTACACTGCAACATGCCTTCAGTTCAAAGTGGTGGACCAGATATTTAACAGCAAGAAAGGGGAAGGGGAGACTAAGAACATGTACCTCCAATTCTACTGTTGAACCCAAACCTTTAGGGATTCAACACAGAACTTTGCCATCCACAACCTCACAAATGACTGCTTGCTGCTGCCACATACTTCACGTCAGTGCCCAGGTTCAGGCATGGAAAATGTCTTAGTCAGGAAGTCATATGCAGCTACTAAGGAGATCTGTCCCACAGGTTAGTCACTCATAATTGATGTCCAGTCTTCTTCATCCAGTTCTATAAGACATGTTAGTCATTTAAAATTTCCTCTCTTTTCTTCTGTCTCCGCTGCAAGCTCTGGACCAGGTGCAGTAATGATAGATGTGAGCACGCTGCTCCAAAAACCCTAGAGGAAGTGGACAAAGAGACCTGTTAGGCTGTGCTCATCATGTTTCCTGTTCCTGTAGGAACATGTGTCGCAAAAGCCCTGACACATTGCTCTTCTATGCACCTGTGGTTAATGTTGAGCATTGCTAAGGTTCTCCTATATATTTACAAAAATTAATGATGTTTGGTCCGTGTTAACCACGCGATCATTAAGACCCCTGGTAAATCAGCAATGAATGGGCAACATTAAGGTGTGGGATATTCCATTAGCACCTGCTGCTCGCCTACACCCAGTGGAAGCCATGTCCGTCATCTCTTTGCATATCACACCACTATAATGGACACTGGGCTGTAATTCATGGGGCTGAATATGACCCCACAGGGCATAGCATTGAGAAATACTCAAGGAAGGTTGAACTACCTTTTCCACTAGAGCTAAGGGCAATGTTTCAGTTGAAACAATTTCTCTATTCCTTCCTGGGGAAAAAAAAAAAAAAATCAAGAGGACTCTCATTTTAATCTAACATAGATCCATCCCCAGAAAAAGAAATCCTGCCACAACCCCAGCAAGCCAAACCCAGTGTTTGTAAATAAAATTTAGTTCCATCAGTGAAAAACTAAGGGAAATCCTAAGAAAACGTACGGAGAAACCTTTCCAATTTCTCAGTAGTATGAAACGTTTCAGTCCTCTTTTGGGGAAGGAAAATGGAGAAGGACAGAAGCAAGAGCTGAAAACACGGAGTGTTCCAAATGCAGGCCTGCTGCCCTTCCTGGGAGCTGGGAAGGACAAGTCTCCTGTGCCTTGCTCCAACATATCTCATCCAGCCAGAGATCTATCCTGGTGATCACAGACAAAATTACTGGGGGACACCTAACCTTTATGCAAATATCTTACTAACTCCAGAGTGGATCTGAGCTGGCCCAGAAAACTGAGTTCAGCTGTGGGATCTTTGCCCAGGGTCGGGACAAGATGAATTAATAATAAATTAGCCAGTTATTACCAGACTGGGTGTGCCTTGCATTAAAAACAACAAATCCCCCGCACCCAAAAGAGGAGGCATCTCTGATAGACCTTGACTGAAGTCCAGGAGTACGGAGGTGTTAGTGGAGCAGGTTCTGGTTGTGAAAGATTCTGGTCATCACATTAATCTGTTGTCATCAACTCCCAGGGCTGACTTCTGAAAGCGTATAAAAGCCTCCTGGTTGGGAGGCTCCTTAAACCAGGTGGCTCTTTCTTCCCTTCCTCCAACAGCAGAAGACGCTAGGTGAGTCCCTTCAAGCACAGTTTGCTCTACAGACTGGGGGTTCTGGTGCTCTGTTATTGGGAAACTGGATGATTTTTCTTCATTTTGTTTCTCTAGTAGCAACTCCCACCCATCTCCCTTTCAATTTCGCCTCCATGAAGGTGAAAACCGTATTATGTTATTTTGAGACGGTCTGAGGCTCCACAGTGGCTGGCTGACTCTTTGAATCAGCAAGCCTGTGTTATCCCTCATCATTTTTTCCAGATGATAAGAATCGTTTTGGATAACCATCAGGTATTTTGTATCAGATACCAAAGGATAGCATTCACCAACTCATTGTGCATATGTAGAGTAGCCATGTGCTGATCACCACAGCCTCCTGCATTTCCAGGGCTCTGAGTTTCACTTTTTTGTACAAGATGGTAGCAGCACACAGCAGGAGAACCGTTCACCTGTGCCTACAGCCAGAGACATGGCTCCTGCTCTAAGGCTCTCAATGGTATTAGCAGAGACATGGCTGTAGCCAGAAAGGATTGCTATCAAGCTATTGTCTTTTTCAGAGATCATTTGCAACACAGAAATATCACTGTATTTTTTCTCCTCTTGCAGCAGTTTTAAATATTGCTCTGAGGTTCTTTATGATCTAAGCATGCTTTCCTTACAATTTGCATTGTTTCTTAATCTGTCACTTGAAATATTTGGAAAACAATGGGCAGAAGGAAAGAAGGAAAAAGCCTCTCATTATTTCTCTCCCTCTTATTCTGTAACCATTTACCTGTTGGGATCAAAACTTTGTTAGGGCAGTGCTTGCCTCTTATCCTTTTTTATGCGTATATACAGTTATGCCTCAAGGCCTCGGCAGAGTGGCTGAGCACCGTAGAAATCATACAAGAAGTGTGGGGAAGCTAAAACAAACTGGAGTCACCAACAAAAATTGCTGTGAACAGCAGCATCCAAAGTGATTTCCAAGTTTCTGTTTGTTTGTTTGTTTCTGTTGTTACTTATTTATTTGTTTATTTATTTATTTATCTATTGTGTTTTTTATGGTAGAATTAGATTTTAAAGGCTTTTCATTGTTAGCCTGATATCAAGGCAAAAGAACTGACTGAAACCCTAATATCAAGAAAGGAGAATTGTGTTGGGCTCAATTTAACTGGAATGGCACCTTGTTTTCTTCCAGGTTTAGCCAAAATGTCTTCCCACCAGCAGAAGCAGCAGCAGCAAATGCCTCCAAAATGCCAGGAAAAGTGTCCTCCAAAGTGTGTGGAGCAATGCCAGCCTCCAAAAGGACAAGCCAAGTGTCCTGTGAAGAGCATCCCACAGCAGCAGCAGCAGCAGCAATGCCCAAAGCAGAAGTAGCACTAACAGCAGTGGTTACAAAGTGCTGTGGAAGAGGCAAATGCATTTTTCCAAGCTCTGCCTCTGCCTGCTAGCTCTGCCAGAATAGCTGGGAATTTGCAACACACCTTCTTTGTTTGCAGGCAGAAATCATGTTACAAAGAGATGCAATTCATTATCTCGGATTTATTCATCTTCTACTATAAAAATGTCACGGGGGCATTTCCTTCTGATCTTTAATTCGGGACATGCTGCAATAAAATTGTAATTGACCTCATTATTTGCTGCCTGATATTTTTGTGCTTTACTTGTGTCATTCATTCTCTTTCGATTTCTTTTAGTAGTCAAAGAATCACCTTTAAGCATGCACATACATATAGGGCTTACATACACTTGGGCCCCTGTACATTTGCCTTCCAGATTTCCCACGGAGGAAATTACATTCTCAGGCATTGAATATTTATGTAGGGATTATAAAATCTTGCAAGTGTTTTTCACCCTGAACTGGAGCAAACTAAGGAAACTTGGTGTTCTGCAAGGTATAACATTCTGAAGTACGTTCCTGTGGAATCTATCAAAGCAATTAATTGTGAATTTGAGTCCCAGATATACTATAACTGCTGAGAGAAAAACAACCTTTGGAAGTTCTTAACACTGAAAGGAAGCTTTCGCTTGCTTAGAAAGAATATTTTTAGTTCTAAAAGAATCAGAAATGGGATTTTGAATGTTGCCATTTCTCAGCAGGAAATACTGGCTCGGCTAATTGATTTCCAGCCAGCTGTATGGCAAGGCAGAGGAGGAAAATTATCATAAAGGCAGAAGCTGTTGAATGCTATGATAGTGGTGTCTTGCAGACAGACACAAATCTGC